GGCCAAAACCTCCCCCAGGGAGAACCCAGGCACCCAAACCTCTGATCACCACCCAGGAGAGGACCCGGGTGTCCAGGCGACCCCCCACCACGGGGGTCCCGGGTGAGCAGGGTACCTTGCTGAGCTGGGACATGACCTCCCAGAGGAGGGCGTGCAGGGTGGAGAGCTCGCGGCCCAGGTCGATGTAGCCCTCGAAGCTGGTGCTGTTGGTGAGGGTGTCCAGGTTGGAGATCTCATAGAGGAACTGCTGCATGCTGGTCCACTCCAGCTCCAGGAACTCGTTCATGAAGGCCATGTACTCCTCCTTGCTGCCGAACCTGCGGGCGGGCACTCGGTGGGGTCCCCACTGGCCCCCCCAACAGGTTGTTGTCCCCCCACCCTGGCCTTTTCTGCCACCCTTTGAACCTTCTGCTCCTCAAGCTTCCGGGTGTCCCTCAGTAAAGCCACGTCTGGCTTCATCCAGCTCTGCTGTCCGTTTGTTCTCCATTCGTCCATCTGCCACCACCTCATCCATCCATCTTCCATCCATCCATCTATTCATCCACCCATCCTTCTGCACGACTCATCCACCCACCAACTCATCCATTCGTCTTCTGTCCATACAACTCATCCATCCGTCTTCCACCCGTCAGCTCACCCCTCCACCTCCCATCCGTCTTCTGTTCATCCATCCTCCCTCCATCCACCACCTCACCCACCCGCCAGCTCCCTCATCTTCCACTCATCCCCCATCAACTCATCCATCTTCTGGTCATCTGTTCATCTTCTCTACTCATCTATCCGCCAACTCATCCATCCACCTACTCATCCATCCATTTTCTCTCTATCCATCTTCTGCCTATCCATCAACTCATCCCTCCATCTTTGCCCATTCATACACTCATTCGTCCATCTTCTGTCCATCTATCTGCCAGCTCATCCATCCATTTTCTATCTTCTGTCCATCATCCATCAACTCATCCATCCATCTTCCACCCACCATCCATCGACTCATCCATCCACTGTCCATCATCCATCAACTCATCCATCCATCTTCCACCCACCATCCATCGACTCATCCATCCATCTTCTGTCCATCACCCATCAACTCATCCATCCATCTTCCACCCACCATCCATCGACTCATCCATCCATCTTCTGTCCATCATCCATCAACTCATCCATCCGTTTTCTGTCCATCTATCTGTCTTCCGTCCATCCACCAGCTCACCCATCCAACCACTCTCCATCCACCTGTGAATCCGCCCGTCCATCCACGCTCCATCCACCCACAGACCTGCAGACCCACCTTCCCTCCACCATCCCTCCTCTCTCCACCTGACCGCCGTCACCCACCGCCACCCCTCCCTCCTCCACGCTGGGCGCTCACTTGGTGAAGTTGGCCAGGTTCTGGATGACCTTGGCGATGAGGGTGAGGGTGCGGGCAGTCTGCTCGTCGGGGTACTCCTGCATGAGGCCGAAGAGGCTGGGGGACATCACGGCGGGGCAGAGGAACCGCAGGAAGAGCGAGGCGCTGATCAACCGGTCGGCGATGTCCTCGCGGCCCCGCTCGGCACAACGCAGCCGCCACGAGGCGAAGACCTCCTTCAGCTCCCGTGGGAACACGCTGCGTGGGGGCGGGACACGGTCAGGGACTGGCGGTGGGGACGCCGGGGGATGTCCCCTGCCCCGAGGACTCACCAGTGCGAGTTGACCACCTTGCAGAGGGCGAGCTCGCAGCACATGCGGAGGTTGGCCTGGTGGTCAGCCAAGGTGGAGGCCGAGCACTTCATGGGGTCGACCTCGCAGTTCTCCTCCGACTCGTACAGCGCCCGGATGAACTCGCCTGCGCGGGGATGGGGACGTCAGAGGGGACCGGGGACCACCCCACTGTCCCACAGCCAGACCACCTCAATGGGGATGTGGCCATGAGAAGGGACCACCCAACCACCCCATGACCATAACAATGGGGACACAGCCAGGAGAGGGGACCACCCAACTGTCCCATAGCCATGAGAAGGGACCACCCCCCACCCCATGGCTACGCCGATGGGGATGCGGCCACGCGTGGGGACCACCCGCCATCCCACAGCCATGCTGATGGGGCACTGGCCATGGCGGGGACCCCTGGCCGTGACGGGGACGCCCCGGCGCCGGTGGAGCTCACCAATGGCGTCCTTGAGGTATTTCTGGCCGATGAGTTTCAGGTACTCCTCTATGGCTTTCGTGGCGAGGGTGTTTTCCCGGAAGATCAGGTGCTCCCGGTCCATGAAGCGATCCACCTCCGTCATGGCCATGTCCGACAGGAAGTCCTGCCCACAGCCGTCAGGGCAGCCCGATGCCTGCCTGCGCCCCAGCAGCCCGGCCAGGCCGGCCCAGTCCACCCTCCGTGCGTCCTCGTGTCCTGCCTCCACCTTCTGTCTGTCCATCCATCCATCTATCCATCCGTCATCCACCTGTCCTCCACGCATCTTCTTCCATCCTCTGTCCTCCATCCATCCATCCACCCATCCACCCGTCCATCCATCCAGCCTCCATGTCTGTCCTCTATCCCTTCTCCATCCATCCACCCTTCCATCTATCCCCTGTCTGTCTGTCCATCCTGCTCCAACCACCCTCCGTCCATCTTCCGTCCTCCAGCCAGCCCTCCACCCATCCCTCCCCCACCTGTCTGTCCATCCTTCTCCATCCATCCATCCTCCATGTGTCTGTTCTCATCCATCCAGTCCTCCATCCAACCCTCTCTCCAAACCTTCATCCCTTCATCCATCCTCCCTCAGTCTTCTACCCGTGTCTCATCCTGCTCCATCCATCCTTCCTCCTTTCTTCCATCCTCCTCCCATGCATCCGTCTGCCCTCCTTCCATGCATCCATCTGTCCAGCCTCCTTCCATCCATCCTTCCTCCATCCACCCATCCATCCATCCATCCATCATCCATCATCCAACCTGCATCTGCCCATCATCATCCATCCATCCATTCATCCATCCACCCATCACCCATCATCCTCCCTGCCTCTGTCCATCGTCATCCATCCATCCATTCATCCATTATCAGCCATCCATCCATTCATCCTCGATCCTTCCTCCATCCATCCATCCATCATCCATCCTGCATCTGTCCATCATCATCCATCCATCCATCCTCCTTCCATCCATCCATCCACCTGTCCATCCAGCCTCCTTCCTCCATCCATGCATCCATCCACCTAGCCATCATCCATCCATTCATCCTCCATCCATCCTGCCTCTGTCCATCATCATCCATCCATCCATCCATCCATCCATTGTCCATCATCATCCATCCATCCATCCATCCATCCATTGTCCATCATCATCCATCCATCCATCCATCCATCCATTGTCCATCATCATCCATCCATCCATCCATCCATCCATTGTCCATCATCATCCATCCATCCATCCATCCATCCATTGTCCATCATCATCCATCCATCCATCCATCCATCCATTGTCCATCATCATCCATCCATCCATCCATCCATCCATTGTCCATCATCATCCATCCATCCATCCATCCATCCATTGTCCATCATCATCCATCCATCCATCCATCCATCCATTGTCCATCATCATCCATCCATCCATCCATCCATCCATTGTCCATCATCATCCATCCATCCATCCATCCATCCATTGTCCATCATCATCCATCCATCCATCCATCCATCCATTGTCCATCATCATCCATCCATCCATCCATCCATCCATTGTCCATCATCATCCATCCATCCATTGTCCATCATCCATCCCTCCACCCATCCTCCTTCTATCCATTTTCCTTCCATCCATCCATCCATCCTCCCTCCCTCAACCCTCCATCCCTTCCCCCGCCCCTCC